TTTTTGGGAGCATGTTAAACGGTGAAATATGGACTTGGACATGTGACTAGTGGATTTACAGGCCGCGTTATATTGTATTGGAATTTCAATAATATGATTTATGTCAGTTTCAAGCACTGCAAGGGGCGGGATCAATAACGAATAACGCAGTACCGGGGATCAAATCGCCCTATAGTTATAACCATGGTTCGTGTCCTCCTCCCTTCTGAATGATATTATTTCATTATTGCGTAAGTCACCACAGAAAGAAAGATAAAAGACAACGGATGGTCATTCCAGGGGATTCAGTACGAACAAGTTACACACAGTATCTGCAGTCACAATGAAGTTCGCTCTGTTTTTAATATTTTTCGCTGCAGTTTTCGCTCTACCGTCTGTTTTTCTCTGGAAGTATGATGGTCCTCCTTTTTTCCTCCTAGCCGGCGACAGTACTACCGCTACCCAGTCGAGCAGCGGAGGCGGCTGGGGTGACGGTTTTATCAGCACGACCCTCCACAACGGAGCAAAAGGTCTAAATTACGGCCATGAAGGAGCTACAACTGCCAGCTTCCGCGCCGGAGGCGACTGGGCCACTGTTCTATCCAAGGTTCAAGAATATAAAGCTGATTACCGGGTCTTTGTAACTATCCAGTTCGGACACAATGACCAAAATCCTGCAAACGGTGTCTCCTTGGCTGAATATACAAGTAATTTAGAGCAATTTGCAAGGGATGTCAAGAGCGCAGGAGGTATACCTATCCTTATCACGCCTCTTTCTCGTCGCAACTATGATACTTCTACTGGGACGCCACTTGTGATTCAAGATCTAGCGGATCAGCGGGCGGCGACTATTGTTGCTGCAAAGAATACAGAAACATCTTATGCTGATTTAAATAAGGCGAGTACGGATTATTTAGACAGCATTGGGCCTGCCGACGCGTATACATTTAATCTGAAACCGAATGATTATACCCATCTTAACGTACAGGGAAGTCAGGTCTTCGGGGGGATGGTTGCGTTGTTGGTTGATCAGGCTTTTGCAGAATTAAAAGATCATGGGTACGTTGAGGTGAATTTGAATTTATTGACAGCACTGGAGAGGGGAGAATACTATTGGCCTTGACCATACTAATCTGGAGTTATTGCACTGATCATCTCTCTGGAATACGTGTGTGTATGCCTCGTTCGTTTACAGTAGGCCAACGAGTCGGCTTCTGTTAGGCTGAGAATGTGAGTTGTAACAAAGGTCATAATCTGATCAGTGCAGAGCTTGACCTGGTCAGCTTTCAATATCCTTTCATTTTGGTGGATTGAAAATGATCACTCCGTCCCATGACTGGTTTGCCGTTTATGCCGTTCATGAAAGTGACTGTTGTTATTAACTACGTCTGTTGTTGAGATTCTGGCCTTCACCTAAGCCATCATATAGCTTCAATGCAGCGCTCTCTTTATCCTGATGATAGGACCATGATCAAGAGATTCCTGGCTATATTGGGTGATGAGCTTCAGATGAGAGTACTGACAAGGAACATGATAAAGTGTTCGTAAGAGATGGCGAGCCTTTCAGCAAGTTCTTCTCTCAGCGGGCTTTCGGTTATGTGTTCAACGCAGCCCTTTGATTTTGAAGATATTTGGCACATCATAGTCAAATATCTTTACCTCCTATATACATATCAATTTACCATGTGCAGCAAGTCAGATATTTGCCAGTGGGGCGAGCAAAATTGAAAGCCATTACAATTCGAGAATGACTGTATCTGTTGATAGAAATAAAGTGTACTATGGAGTACGGTTACAACTAACGTAAAATAAATCGATCTACCAAAGTGGGCTGAGAACGTAGCGTCTCCACCAATCATTATCTAGGATATCAAAGATTTCCTGGAAATGGATAAATTTACGAGGTTTCTGCCAGGCAGAATCTCCGAATTAAGAAGGCGGCAGATATGGTGACAAATCGAAATTTTCAACCTTTTGCATCCCACTATAGCATAGGAGACTCTTACTGTAGGATGCCAAAAGTTTGAAACTGTCCATTTATTGCCTGGCCTAACCGCCTTCCTAATTAGACTAATTTGCCTCGCAGAACCCTGGCAAATACTATACTTAGGCCTCAACATTGAGTATACATCATCACCTGCACTCACCCTGCAGGGGCACGCAGCGACCTATTGACCGTGCAGAAGCCACATACTACGCGTGGTCAGTAAGTACAATGGCCTTTAGCCCTTTAAAAGTCTGAAACAATAGTAATTATTGAGTTAGGATAAGTACTGGTGATTGGGGTGAGTACTCTATATCCGGCCATTACCAGCGGTGATTCCTACTTACTAGGGGTAATACAGCTAATAACAGAGCTATCTACAATAACTTTTTGTACTAAAACTAGAAAGAAACGGAACTTCGAGATATAGATAAATATATCTTATATCTTTCAAAGAAATCCTTTCTTATTTTTGGTATTGAAAGTAGCGGGATACTATAAGAGGTAAAGAGTTGCCCGACTCCTATATAAGATAGGGGTTGCTATATCCTTTATATACACACAGTAGCTGAGTAGTATAGGGTTTAGCCTGTAGTGCAGAATACAGGATGTCTCTACTGATCAGCGGGGACTACTGTAAGGTAGTCCTACTCGTAGCAGCTGCATAGCGTAGCTACGATCACAATATTTCCTGCAGATAATCTCCTAACGATCAATCTTACTATAGGAATACAATGGCACCCAATCTGGCACCTTCACAATATCAAATTATTTGTAACATAATTAAATGTGATCTATTACTTACTAATACCTAGATAGCTAAAACTATTAACTGCAGTATGTGTGTAATTCCTAGGATTCGCTTAAATCTCCGGCTATTCGGCAGTAGCAAAGTATCTCCAAATAAAGGTGGACGCCTATGAAATATCTCGCCAATAATACTAGAGGCTCTTTGTAATTATCTTCTGGAAAAGCCTAATTTATATCTTAATAAAATAACTATTTTTTTTTAATTTGATAAGTTCTAAATATATATAACTATATCTAGTATCCAGCGTGCTCTGTTTTCTAAAGGTTAGTTATAGAAGGCAGCTCAGTAGAAAGTAAAGAAACGAAACTCAGATCTATGGGATATATAGTTTTATTTAATTTTAGATTTTTATTTCTATTAACTCGTATATGTAGACGAATCTAGATATAACAAACAAGTTGGTTTCCGACAGATATATTGGTTTTCCCTCGGCACAGCTCCGATTCAAGTATCTAAATTTTATTGAGAGTAGCGGTATTAAATATTGTTTATATATTTATAGGATAGTATTATTCTTTTATGTATCTTCCAAGGCTCGACGGATACCTCTGTCTTTGAGGATTTTATTGAGGAGCTTTTTCAGCACTGTAGTAGTAGCCACAACCGAAGTCTGTTCTAGTTATGGACAACGTTTCTTTTTATTACTCTAAGCGGATAGAGCATATGTGCTTGGAAGCTTGAGTTAAACTGATATATTTGCCGCCATACTCACCGGACCTAAATTCTATTGAGGAGTTTTATTTACTGAGTTAAAAGCTTTTATTCGACAGTACTGGAACTTGTATAAAGATAGCCCTGGTTAAGAATTTAATGTCTTCCTTGAATAGTATATCGGTGTTGTAGGGGCAAGGAAATAAAATACGAAAGGGTATTTCTGGAACGCAGGCCTAACAATAAAACAGTTTTAACCGAGCTCAATACTATCAGTGTTGTCATTGTTGAGCCGATTTCTTAAATTTTATGCCAATTGTACTTTGGCTCCTTGCATAACATATCGAGTGTAATTCGCCGTACTAAGGCTACACTGTTGGCTCTTTCTCATCCAGTTCCGAGTTGCAAGATGGACTAGTCTGTGTACATTTAGAGATCGGTCCCCGCCATCCTCACTAATAAAGGAAAATGTCTTGAGGAGGCCGATGGCATCTATTCTCTTCTTGATCGAGATGCCCTGGGGAAGTAAAGACTGTGGAATATCGCGAGAATTGATGCAGGTCATAAATGGCAGATAGTCCGCCGCGGGTTCATTTAATTGCTGAATTTGCTGAAATAAGATAAACAAGGTTAACACAACAGGATTCTGGGTGTCTTTGTATCGCCTTTTATCCCCAAAATCTTTGCTTAGCAACTCAATTATATCAGACTCCTGGTTCTGTAAAAGTATAATATAGTTAGAGAGACCATTGCTATTTTCATTGATATATACTGCCGTCTGTGTGATTGCTAACGGGAGGAAGGCCAGCTGCTCAAACAGACTAATGGTTATATTATAATCATTAAGGTTTTTTCAATCAGGGAGTTTTGTAAAATTTTGACAACAGTCTCTGTGTCCGGCTCAGAGATTATTATTACATAAGACACTAGTCACCAGGAGATGATCTGGACAAACTCTGGCTGTAGGTACCAGATCTGCTGCCAACGTTGATACCAAGTGTCATCATCTCGCCAAAGCCAGTTCTTGTCGTACCCGGGCATATTGGTATAGAACCAAGGAGACACGGGCATCATGTATGGCTTACCCGTCTCATTCAAGGTTTGAAGATACGATGCATCGATAAACGTCGTCATGTTCTTATTACCCCATGGCCACGACGCCCAATCTGTCAACCTTTAGTCAGCCTTCTATCATTCTCAAATTGAAAACGGTTCTGTTACATACTGAAGAGTCCATCCACAACTCCATCTGTGGCATCTGCGGCAGGTATAGCACCTAGGGAAGACCAGTCTGGCACGAAGAAACAGCCTCTCTGGGCCTTGATATTATTCCAATCTCCAGCGTTTCCAGGGCCCTCGAAAGTCGAGACAAATGGACCTCCTTTGTGTTGGAAATACGCACTAGAACTGCTATATCTCTTGATCAAACTGATCAGCTTTTCTTGTGGCCAGGAACCGTTACCGGCGTAGTCGAACGAGAAAAAACAATTGAAAATTCTCTTGTTCCGCGGCTTGAAAGGCCAGTGCCAGGGTATCTTCGTTGGCATACCAGCCGTACGCCATATTAAGAGCAAAGGCATCAATATGTGCTTTGGTGGCGAGTCTAATGTCATGCTTCCAGTCTGGCAACCCCCAAGTCGGAACATTGCCCACCTGCACGTATGGTTAGTCTCAAAATATACCGTGGTTATCTAGTGACATACGATAAAGTGGGCAAACACAGCAGCTGCCTGCACATGACTCGCAGTGAGCCATGCCGTATAAAGAAGGAGACGCACGAATCGCATTTCTCTCAGACGACTGTTTAACAACGATGGAGAAGACAAAATTCACATTGGGAGTATTCTTCTCCAGCTTATGTACCCAGTCATGCAGATGAACATGCCATTTCGAGAAAGGAAAACCATGCAAAATAAAAGACCAAGGGGTAAAGGACATGAGGGCCGTCACTCCAGACTAAAGTCTGCCGCGAGACAGATTGATCAGTCAGGAAAAGCCGTCCATCTTCTATGACATTGCATGGCTACCATTCGTAATGGAAAAGCTGATAGGAAACGCGATTTTATGCATCAGTGAGGGGTCATCACTGAATAGTAGACCTTGCTTAGCTTTAACTGGTGCATTGTCCATGAAGTGAACTATATGACGGCCTCACCTAGCGCTATGTCCCACCATGAAGCAGGATGTTGAGGGTATGATTAGTCATGATACCTATGAAGGCACAAATGCCTGAGGTGTAATATTGGCAATCTTGGTGATCCACTTGGCTCTAGCTAGTTCCTGGTCCAAAGTGAACCCCTGTGTACTGTGCACCCGGAGCTCCGGACCAAGCTTTACTGTCACATCGTCCCGGCACTAAGAAAAAAGGCTACTTAACTACATCTGAAATCTCCCGGGCCTTGTCTTATTGCCATTTCGGGCGTTACATCGTCCCCGCACTAGGAAGTCAAGCTAGACAAGCGAGAGCCCTGTGAACTCTTTCTTGCGCCATACTCGTAGTAACTGAGGGAGGAATGAGAGAATGGTAGGAATCAGGAGAAAGCTTTACTCATTCGATATCAGCATATTGGTTTGTTTCATCATCCTTTTTGAGATGCACGTACATTCTGATCCACGTAGGAAGGATATTCGGGTCCATATTGGAATAGATAGAAAACGGAAATAACAGTAGAAAATCCGGCATTCCCACTGATAAGGGCTTGGCCTAGATATAGACTAGATAACTCGCTAGCCAGAGCTGATTCAGGCCTACTGCACTCCACTGTGGATTCAGTCCCATTGGTTGCACCTTACATAGCTTTTGCTGCATATCTCAAAAGTTTCCCGACACGCTAAATTGGAATATCACCAATGATCAAGGGTCCAAATGATACTAGAGACGCTAGTAGCCACTCAGAGTTTCGCATCACAAGCTCTATGGATATACTAATTAAATATCATATGTTCTCTTTGATAGAGATTAACTAGCTTTTTCTTATACTGTATCATAGTACTTGGCGTTGCTCGTACCGCGGCTTAGATATTAGCACCGCGGTAGTCTATAGTAGAAATAACTGGGCGAAGGCGCCCACGATGGGGCAGCCTCAGGCAGGAATTATGGCCCACAGGCGGTGTGTAGGCTGAGAGTGCGGGAGCATAGCAGATGATGGTTGCTGACAGGCTACTATCTGGTAGATCATTCTAAACATAACACAATCTAGTATTGAGTCCATCGGAAAAAGCGCTGTGTTATATAACTCAAAGCAGGCATTGTACTTCAATATAGCCGGTAGCCATAACTTAGATATTACACAATATAATGTCTACTCGACTTTTCTAACCAATGAGCGACAAATCTCGTAGCTCCACGCAGACCTAGCCAGCTTATTCAATCCTCCATCTATACGTACAAAGCAAGCTATTAAAGGCGTTGGTAAGCAATATTATCGATTTCAATAATTTTGACATATTGTATCCTAATTGATGCTCAATGGCATCCTCTCTAATACTACTCAGCAATTGACCATCAACTTCCTACACCGTCGATTTGTTTCGAGTGGTCCGGCCAATAGAATCGTTCCACTGATTGACAACAACATTATTGAAGTACATATTTTCGTGTTCCCCGGGCCATCACACAAATACTGTCACGCGACAACGGCTAGATAAAATATCCAGTCCCACACAAGAAATAAATACAGCGGATTTAAAGGACATTAGAAGTCAGAAAGCGGACAGGGAAAATTGCCAGCCTAGAGCTTATAAAGGTGTCCGCTCAGACAAGCAAAATCGTCGAACGTCAACTGATGCGGGCGTTAGGTATGTGCCATGCCGCGCAGGAAAAAGTTGATTGCGGGTTGGCAGCCCACTTACATGATCTGCGCCTTTAGATTTATCTGCAGTGGCATGTATGCTATTTCCCTCCCCACAAGCAAACACTGGCTGTGCGATAAGTGTTGCTTACGTATCATACATGTCTTAAGGTGCGGCAATTCATTGGGGCATCCACTCTCGGCTTCACAACGAATCCGAATTCGTATCCGCAGTACAACCACTGTCAAGATTCTTGAATTCAGCATTACCAGCATTCTCGTGATTACTGGTGAGGATGCAGTCAGATGCGAAGGACTATTTATTGCCCGGTTTACCCGCGAACCTATCATAGCCGCACCACAAGGGCAATCCTAGGAATAAAAATAAATGGTACAATACACACATAAGATGCTATAAATGGTCCACACCGCCCTTATAAGGGAGGCTGCCAATAGTATCCGGTGAAATGTCTCCTTGATTGATTCCTGAATTTCCTAGAATTATTTTCGCTGCTGTGGTCTTATCGTCTGCTTGCTTTTATTGGTTTCTTTCCGCCTCTCTCCGAAGAGATCTATTAAAACCTTGGCTACGAGGGATGAAAAATAGAATACCATGCAAGAAGTCACTGCTGGCCTCGGCTAGGCCCGAAATTCGTAAGGAAAGAAATCGATTAAGTGAAGGAATATATTTAGAAACATATTTTATTAGTGGATACCTGTCTATCGCTCAAGGTCAGGGGTCAGTGTATGAATAATCATCAACAACAACTATATCATAGACCGCAGCAGAGAACGCAAGGAATACAAACAAGAATGGAAAACATAAAAGAAAGGACGGCACATCCACTATATTGACTGGACCCTGCCTGTAAGCCGCACGCGCCGGGTATATGGCTCACTCCCTTGGAACCGAGCCTGCCTGCTTACCCAACTCCGAACCGGCCACTCATGGCTTGTAATACATGGCAAGCGGCACAGCCTTGGAGATAGTCAACCGGTGGAAGTAAAGAGGAATAGAGACTGTGACCAATATATTAGTTCGCTGCCCGCGACTGAGGGCCTATGCTAAGACCTACGGCTGAGAATTGGAAAGGCACTCAATAATATTACTGCGATGCTGGGAGGAACCGACCAAGGTAAGGACAATAGGTTATAGGTTGCTCCGCAGGAGAATATCTCAGGCGCGGTTCTGGACTTTTCATAAGCATCGCCGCGCGACGAGGGCGGCAGAGCAGACCCCCCCCCCCCCGGTATCGATTGACGAAGCTCATCGGGAAAGTAAAAGCTTACTGTAAATAGATGCACAGGTAGGCTACAGATAGTAGTAGTCCGGCATATCGCTTAGCGAGGGGTCAGCTGCATGAATACTAGCTATCACTATTAACTGTATCCTATAGCGGCTAGGACTTGATAGGGTTTTTAACCCATTTTTAGTAAACTTTGCATGAGAACACAAAAGGCAAATTACAAAATAAAAGCAAAGCATCAAAACATGGACTCTATACGCCTGGGGAGCGACATGAATGTGAAACAAAGTGCGAACTCTGTAACCATTAGTGTTGTAACCAATACGTATCTGGAGTGCAAGTTTGCTTTCTAAATGTTCAAAGCTGCTGGCGGTGTATGGAAAAATAATCGAGGCCTAAATGTTGGCCCTCTCTTTGGCGATATCAAAGGGAGACTGTTAGTTAGGCGGCCACATACTTCGGATCGCTGATTATACGAGATCACGGATTGTTTCCATGCTTGTGCACCTTCTTATGGGTACACTGCTAATAAGGAGAACGCTGTCGTTGCCGTTGCAATTACCGTTAGAAGAGCTATAATGGGCCAGTTCCCATTTTTGGCTGTGTAGATATTGATAAGTGTAGTGAGAAGTCTGGCTACTGTATTGAGGGCAGTCGGGCTTGTAGATCTTGGTTAATGCCATATTTTTCGATCACTTCCGTGGGAAACTTACATAAATAAACGGTTAATAAGCTAGAAATAGTTTTGTTTCCATCTGAAGAAGAGGTATATTATTGTGAGGGAGTCTTCGCTGCACTTCTCGACGAGACGTTAGGATGCTGTATCGAATCTTGGGCGATCCAGCTCCATGCCAGTGAGCAGGCATCATCCTCAGCACCGCAACCACGCTTGTATACCGCTAACCTAATATCGTGCGCCGGTAGAATCACCGGGAATCATCATTGTTCACGCTTAGCTTAAGAGCAGGGAGGGCAGGAAGTGGTTTCTAGGCATCAGGATACTTGGTGAAGATGGCCGCACTTGAGCGGAGGCATCGACCTTGTGGGTCAGTGAAAGAGTTGCCGTTATGTAAGGTAATGGAATCTACGTGTTTCTCTCTAGCTCTCGCGATTCTGAACTACGGTCATATAGCGCCAACGTCAATCTCATTTCCCCAATGAGCCCAGTGCATGTAAGACGCTTCACATGCGACACGAGTGCAGCAATTGACGAATGAAATTTCACGCTAGTAGGGAGCAGATCTGAACCCCCTGTATCAACTGAATCACCTGAGCGAAAATCCCTACCAGATACCTTACCCGTCCTGTTCGTGTTCGTCTCGCTACCAGTGTATCACACTGAATTTAACAAATAGCAGTAGTTTCCATAGAGTGGGGTTAGGAGTTGGTCTCACTTAAGTGCCCGTTAGCGGATGCCCTAATGTATGGCAGCTGCGCCGCAGGTTCCGAGGTGCCCGTAAGCGGTATTTATCGGGTGGCCGGCGCTTAGAAGTCACTCAAATATAGGAACCCCTTTTGACCCCGTTCTTACATCTTCAATAGTATCTGAGTGCTGTACTATCATTCTCACAACAGTCTTTATAGCCCCGTAGTAGCCAAGATGGGAAAGAGAGTACGCCATTTCGTCGGGGTGGAGAGCTCTGAGCAGCTCGCTTTCATCGATGAGCTTCAGGCGCTTGGACTCAGTAACACCATCAAGCTCCCGGAGGTAAGTTTATTAGATGCCTGGTCGAAGCACATGCTGATGTTCACGGTCGCCATCAGCTTGTCGTCGTCGGTGACCAGAATACCGGCAAGAGCTCTGTCCTTCAGGCGATCACCGAGGTTTCCTTCCCAGTTAAGGACAATATGTGCACTCGCTTTCCTATTCAGATCTCGTTTCGACAGACATCCGCAGCTAAGGAACTTCCTGTGAAAGCTACAGTGGTCCCTGGCCCACTGTCCGAGCAAGACGACGAGTTTCTCGCTCGGATACAGAATTTCGCGATTGAGAAGGAGGAACTGACATCGGAGGTCATGAAGGAGATTATAGATAAAGTCAGTGGATGTGGCCTTGGTCGGCTCTTGTCGTTGCTAACGCAGATAGGCAACGGAATGTATCTTCGGTGACAACAAGTCTACCGAAAAATTGACACTTAGCGATGCGACCCTTCGAATCGAGCGCTCTGGCCCCGATGAAATGCACTGGACTATTGTTGACCTTCCCGGTTTGATACGCGGAAAGAAATCGGGGAAAGGCGGAGATGCATTAAATGACGCCGGTAAGGCATTAAACGACGAATCGCATGTCTGGAATAACGTGGCAGTTGCGGAGGAGCTGGCTCGTACTTACTTAAGTAACGAACGAAATATCATTCTGTGAGTGCTATAATGCTCCTCTAACCATAGCAACCAAGGCTAACGGTACTTAGGGTGGTCGTCGACAATGTGGACGTGGAGCGGCATAAGACCTTTGAGTTGATAGAAGAGATACCGAGTCTGCAGACCCGATGCATTGGGGTTCTCACAAAATGCGATCGGAAGCAAGAAGGATCGGACCATTGGGTATGGCCTCCAAGCCTCTTACGCGATCGTATCCTGACAAATTAGATGATCAAACTGCTTCAAAACGACCTGGCCACTGTTCCGCACTTGGACCATGGTTGGTTTGGACTACGCAACAGATTGCCTACTGAACCTAGTTCCTCTGATGTAGAGCGCGACGATATGGAGCTTAAAGAATTTGCTAAGCCAGCTTGGGAAGGTGTATCGAAAGATAGGACTGGAATACGATCGTTGATGAGCTACATCGACAAGGAGCGACGGGCTCAAATCCAGAAGGAGATTCCTCAAATTATTACAGAGATCACCCAAAATCTCCGTGAATGCGAAGCCACCCTGAAAAGAATGGGGGAGTCTAGGACTACTGCGCGAGCTCAGCGATATTACGTCCTCCAGTTCTGCAATGAGATGCAGAAGATGGCCGAGGGAACCTTAAGAGGTCAGCATCAAGACATACCTTCAACAGATGCAAAAGCCATGCTGCGTTACAAAATCCGACTTCGACTGGATCAATTCCGTGACGATATGTGCAAGAGCGAAAATATCGCCATCAGGTTTACCAACTACCGAGAAGACCTGGAGTGGCTCAGATCTCAAAGCTCCGACCCCAGGGTATGGGAGGAGCATGTGACCAACGGCCAGGGGCTCTACGCAGCAATCGCTCAGGAGGCCAAGATATGCGAAGGAAGAAGCCTTCCGGGGAGCGTTCATCCAGACGTAGAAGAGAAGCTTTTCCGAAAGCTATCAGCACACTGGGAAGGTATTGCCCGTGAGTTTGTCGAGGACGTCAAGGTCATGGTTACAGATTGCTACAACATTCTGTTGAAAATTGCAATACCGAACGGTAAAGTGCGTTTGGAAGTGGGTCGTATTGTTGGGAAAACGCTTGAAGAATGGAACAAAGATGCAGACAACGCACTCCGGGAATTAGTTGAGGATAACCAGGCTCGTCCATTGATTACTCGCAATCCATCCCTACTGTCCTTTACGAGCTTGACAGATCAAATCTTGCTTGGTCATTCCTCCAACAACAAAACAACGAATGGTAAGACCAATGGCACTCTGGATGGTGAAGATGCAAGCCCGTACTTTATACCTACATCCTTGAACCAGATTCTTTCCGCCCGAGCCAGGCTGGATGGATACTATGATATTGCTCTATGGCGCTTTATCGACAATGTCGCAATGCAGGTTATGGAGAGACATGTGCTGGGTCCGAAATGTCCAATGCGCATTGTCTCCGCCGACAGGTTTGCGCAGCTTGATGATACAGAGCTGAACACGGTTGCCGGCGAAGACGAAGCTGATACTCGTATGCGTGCAAGACTGGAGAGGACGCGATCTCGCTATCAGAAAGCACTTGAGCGATGGGAAAGACTGAGGGTTCTCTGATTCACGGAGGGTCAATACGTGCTACCGTATAAAACCGTCACCTATCATCTGGGGTATGATGTATGTGCGCACATGTATACGTTCGAAATATTTTAATTAGACAATAGTGTCTCTGGTATTCTAATTGCTTGATGAAGTATTTCAGTTGGGAACTAGAAAGGTAATCCGAGGCTTCTCACCTAGAAAGTCTCGTTTTGGATATGTTTTCGTTTGTAAATTTATGTATTCGGCGCCTGCTGGTATTTGGGCGCCTCGTTCGACAGTACAGACATACACCAGTGAACGAATAAACACGTATTGTCGCATCCCAGTAGAGCTAATTTTCGTATATATACGAAAGGAAAGATGACATGCATTGGTAGTTGCCTTCAATCCTTTGTTGTAGATCTGATCCAGGCACCCCCGCGACTATAGGTCTATGCAAGTGGTGTCGATCCACGCGGCTTCGCCAATCAATATTGTGAGATATCCAAAATAGAGTTCAATATACGAACACAGCCAGCTGCTCAAAATCAATAATTCCGCAAGGAAGATAAAGAAAACCCGTCGATCCCTAGGTCAAAATCTCGAAGTGGTTTCCCAACCTCACTTTCAGGTTCTCGTGCGGTTCAGCTGTCCTTTATTTTGGTTATTGAGAAAGTGACCTGTCAAGCCCAACACCCATACAAAGGGCTACAGTGGCTGGGATTGAGTTAGTGTGTTAATAATAGATTCAATAGTATCACAGGGTATTGAAGATCGATGTATTAGCCCAGAACTGAGCCTCCATTTTCCACTGGGACAGTGCTTGTAAGAAGTGAAGTATATATATCCTCCTCTTGTCTGGAAAAGCTAGTTAGATTGGCAACATTCCTTAGTATTTCAACCAGCTTGAACAAAATGAAGCTTCTAACAGTCGCATTTTCTCTCCTTCTACTCGGGCATGTCCATGCCACTCCTTTGGTGCTCGACAAAAGGACTTCCTGCCAGGTCGGCGGCATCGATAAGATCGGTGCTGCAGACGCCGCCTGTAGCGCTTCAGTAAAGGCCCCCCTTCTTTATTAATTTCTCTTATTGATTCGATGCTAACTTTATGTCTCAGTGTCTTGCTCAACACGGCAACATTCACGGCGGACACTGTAATAAGGACAAGTATGTCATCAATGAAACAGAAGTTTAACATATCTAATGGCTTCCAGGGTCTGCGTTTGCAATTGATGAACGGTGAAGAGAGAATGGTCAGACGCGTGTGATGACTGGCTTCTTCAGGCTTCGGATTTAGACTTGGGGTTCGCATAGCATCCTTTGTATTTAACGTCCATGATCCGATCCCGAATCGTCCACTTCAACTTATTCAGTGACAATGAGTGATACATGAGTTCCAAAAGGCAAGACAAATAAAATGAGTTATTCAAGCATTTTATGAGTGCCTAAGGGTATTCAACGTGTTTAGAAGCACATTGAGACTTGTAAATGGTGCAATATAAAAGCGATAAATAGGCGCACGACCGATGAATTGAATGACTTTAATAATGTCATGAAGGAGAGTCTGAATGAACGCATGTGGTCAGAAAGGAGATCGGATTAAATTAGTATCACTTAAGTAACATAAACTACAATACAATCATACAACAGGATTAACAAGGATATCAACCTAATGATCAACCAGTGGTGCGGACCAAACTAAACGAGGGAGCGCTGGAATATGCCTTAGGCTGTATCCTTGAGAATTCAAAACAACCACAACCTAAACTACTCGAATGCAATGACAGGATTGATATTGGGCTCATTTGCTCCATCAAATTTCAGGCTTGCGAACTCGGCCACGATTTCTTGCTCTACTACTCCTAAAACTAGAATGCAAGGAGAACATCAAAGAGTGGTTGTTCGCCTTGCCCATTTAATTCGGTGATACATACAGCCACACTAAACTCTGGGATGTCATAGTACGGGACTTGCACTCTGCTTTCTCTCTTCTATATGGCATTGAATTTTAGTAAATATTGGCCTCTAGTGATCGGCAGCTTTAGTAAAGGCGGCCAATAATTCTCCACCCGCAATCCGCGGAGACCGGACTGAAATTCCTTACAACTATGAATGACCGCAAGGGCTTGCCAATTTCCAGAGTTTCTTGTGGATAGGTCGAAAAAATGTGGAGTTGCTCCTCTGTCGCATACTTGAATAACCGCTGGTAAGTATTCAGTGTATTTATGAAGAAGGCGTCCAAAGCAACATACATACCGTGACAACGGCGGAGTGGAGGCGTGATTGAAGGTAATATTCTGTAACTATGACGAACAGTCGAAACATTTACTAGATATAAAGTAATTCTCTGAGACCGGTCGACCCTCTTCACGGAATAGCAGTTATGTTCTGGCTAGTTCCCTGCGGATACAACCTGAATGACGAAGGCTTCATGCACAATCCGCAAGTCCAAAGAGTTTACTTAGAGGAATGCTCAAGTCAGTCTCGACATCACGATCATCGACTAGCCGTGGCGAGGGATTTTAGCCATTTTGTCTATTAATATCATTCAAGAGCCCGAGCGAGTAGAGCGCTACAGTCGTCCATGCCTTCAGCCTTGGGCTCCGCGGGACCCGATTAGTGCAAGTGACGGTTGCCCCTATTTTGTAGCTTTACCATGATGAGTCGCTTGAAACACATTGTACCCTGGTCATACTAGAGTATGCAGTACTTATAGAATCTCATGCTAGTTCCGACAGAGCTACAAGGGAAAATATCTACTGCTTGAGGAAGACCCAAAGTCGGGACACAGAACAGCATGATCATATCTACCACAACACTAAAACAAAAAGGTAACAAATAGTGACATTGGGATTTCAGGGGATTATGTAGAAACGCAATATATTCGAGTGTCGGTTAAGAGAACCACTAGTACTGCGCCAGACAGAAAGAGATAAAAAAAAATACGATACATTCCGCTAAGCTGACTGGCGTCAACGAGGTCAAAGTCGTTTGATTGCTCCCCCCTTGTTGACACTCCCATCATGAAGTAAAGCATTCCACAATCTCCTCGCGTGGAGTGCCCACTTGCTCCAGAGCTCGATAGAAAGCCTGGGGCTTCGCCCAATCCTCAAGAGCGAAGACACCCGTCCGCTGCTTCTGCCCTGGTTCCAGCGCCATCACCATGAGCGCGGCACAAGCGGTTCCCGTGATTGATGCCATGTTCTTCATTATATAGGAGCCTTCACCACTTTTTGTAGTTCGTTTGATAACGAAAGCAGGGTGCTCATGGCGGGAACCAATCGCTCGCACTAGTAGACTGCCACGATATGGCGCTGGTTGGCCACGTGCAGAAGAGGCGATAAAAGCCAGTACCTCTCCAGTTGTGCATTCACCGCTTCGGATCTGGTAAATCATGCCCATCAGTGCATAGCGCTAAGGGCCTAGTGCATGGGCCCCTTGCGCAACCAGCTGCCACAGTTCCTTGATGGTATTATCGCCGCGGCGGAAGTGTCCGGTAAAGCCGCCCAACGCATCGGTCCAGCTATATGTACGATGGGGGATTATTAACTAGATTGACCAAGAAGCTCACGGCCTCGTCCATAGACAATGCTTGACGACGGACGGCAGTACCAAGTCCACGGGCGAACCCATTGAAGGGCGAAAGGTCCGTCCCGCCCAGGCATCAAATACGAGAGGTGGTCGGAAATAGCTGTGGTAGAGTAACTGGCTCCGGATACGCTGTCTCGTGTAAAAGTGTTTCACCAGATTGTCCTACCATGGGTGCGTACCCTGTCTCGACCCATAATTCATTGAGCGACGGCTTTCCATTCGCCCATATCAAGCAAGGCCCAGCAGCAATATACATCAGATTCTTCAGGACTGCCTTGCCAATACCGGGACGCTCGTCGCCGACAAGCCAACAGAGATCGATGGTATCAACCGTGTCAAGATCGCCGACGGCATCAACGGCCAGCATATTGCTCATACCCGGTGAGGCTCCGCAGCTAATATAGCATGGCACGCCCGCATGCTGAGCTTTTTCATGTAAGGCGAGGACTGCCGTAGTACTCTCCTCGTCGTCATCAAAGTCAATGTAAGGCACCTTCGCCTTCGGGCAGGCGGCCAGGACGGGCCCTGAAGTTCGCGCGTACGGTCCAGCACCAAGGACAACGAGGGCAACACCGGCAATCGTGTCGTGCAAACTAGCTTCATCAAAAAGATCCAGCTTTTTTGTTGTCGCACGGCCAGTTGGCAGCTTCGTGAGAAGCAGTTCCAGGGCGTCCGTGTTGATATCCGCTAGAACAAGCAAGGCATTGCTTGCGGTGGCAAACTGTTCGATGGCCACGCGATACATCTCCCCAGCGGCCCCAATAAAAACAACCCGATCTGTGTTGCTGGTGGAGCTAGTCATGCCGGATTTGTGGTAGACTGAGAATTAATACTGCTGTTAAAAGTATTGTAGAGGTCAAAGAAACTATTGTGCCTTCAACACCGGCTTTTATGTTCTTCAAGTGTAGCATGGTTTCCTTAATCCGCGGCTCATAGCCGTGATGCAGTTGACAGTTGTCCGGTCAGGGAAAGCAGCCTGAAGTCACTTACTGCGTTCCACACTGGCCATGTCGAACTCCTCGGCGGATGCGAACTGTATTAAACCCGCGAGTCCACCCCGCTCAGAGGTTCTCCACAATGTGGTATTTCTGTTCCGCAGGTCCGGCTGCACCGAGCCTCACACGTTTGGTTAGGGGCGGACTTTGCGATGGATCAGACGTGTGTAGGGTTTAAAGGAAGAGCCTCCTGAAGCACCGCCAGTCCCTGTAGACATGCATGCTGGTCTTACAACGTGCTAGGTTTGCCCCAAAAAAACGCCAACATAAGGTTAATCCGTTCCTTCTAGTTATATCCCGGGCGGGTGCGCATTGAAAGCTCATCTTTTTGTCATTGCAATCAGCCAATGATGGGTCATTCTCAGGTCCATCATCGTATCTTGCCGTCTGTTTAGCTTATTGTGTCCTGGGTATGTAGTTGGTGGTTGGGGAACGCCAAGAAAGAATCGCTTGAAGAATATTGATCGGCAATTCTTCCCATATCGAGCTAGTACTTACTACTCAATAGAGACAGAGTGACTTGGGGGTTTTGTCACTTTGGTGGTGCGTGGGTCTAAGTATTTCCGTGGTGGAAGAGTTGGCGAATCGATTGCCGAAAGCAGCATCAAAACTATGACCGTTTTCGGCAAACTATTTGTAACTCCATACTCCATAGTCTTTCAACACGCCCCCACAACCAAGATGAAGCCAGTCATAAATGGTAAAATGCACGTCTGCCCGATGACCCACAGCTTTAGTTCACCTTGGCAGAAGTGCGGGACTGAAAGCGGGGTAGATTGTCAGGGTCCCTTAACCTTTTAATATGCCATGATATCTTGCATTTGGATGTCCAGGACCCGAGTTAGCTATTCAATCTTTTTCTCAGCCTCTGATCTACATTCATAGAACTTCTGCATACATCTGAAACCGTATCATGTACTCCCCAAAAATCGGCGACAGGCTCGACAGCCTTGACACCCCATCCATGATTGTGGATCTGGATCTGATGGAAGCCAACATTAAGAAGCTCTTCGACAGTCTCCTACCCACTGGACTCAATATCCGTCCTCACCTAAAGACAACCAAGAGTGCTATTCTCGCAAAAAAGCTTGCCGCTGCAGGAGCCAAAGGCTGCTGTGTGGCTAAAGTGTCTGAAGCCGAAGCAATCACTGCCGCAGGGTTCGACGACATCCTTATCACTTGCGAGGTTATTGGCGAGCCGAAAGTGAAAAGACTGGTGGAACTATTCAAAAAGCACAAAAACATCCGGATTGTGGTAGACAGCGAGGTTGGCGCAACGGCAATTAACAATGCACTGGCGCAGGCGGGTATTGCGGAACCCATCTCCGTTTTAGTGGATCTGGACGTCGGTCTGCATCGCACGGGTGTTGCCAATGCACAGGCAGCGCTGACTCTAGCAAGGCATATCAGCGGTCTTCGCCAACTGCGCTTGATTGGTGTTCAGGGATATGAGGGTCATTTGCAGCATCTTCACAGCTGGGACGACCGTAAAAAACAATGTCTCGAGTCAATGAAGATCCTCACAGATACAGCTATCCTGCTACGCAACGAGGGCTTCAACATTGAAGTGGTCACTACAGGGGGAACGGGAACCGCTGAGTTTTGCGCTACAGTGCCTGGTGTGACTGAACTGCAGCCCGGATCTTTTATTTTCATGGACACCGACTACCGCAACGCGGTGGGAACATTCTTTTCAAATAGTCTCACTTTACTATCGACGGTCATTAGCAAGCAAGGAGATAGGAAGGTAACAATTGATACTGGCCTGAAGTCCTTGACGACCGACAGTGGGCTGGCGGAGTGCAAAGACCCGAGGTACACGCACGAGAACCTGGGCGATGAACACGGCTCACTGAGCTGGGAGAAAGGAACACCAGATTTGGCCGTGGGTGACAGGGTCGAGATGATTCCGAGCCATATTGATCCCACTATCAACCTGCATGATTTCTACTATGGTTATCGGAACGGAGTTATTGAGGAAATCTGGCGTGTGGACTCGAGAGGAAAGGTTCAATGAAAATACCAATCATCCAGATATAGTATTAGGATGGATGACAGCTGGCTGTTCATGATGCAATTGCATATTCGCTTCAGACGCTTGTTACGAACAATGAGAACGATAGAGTAGGCTGTTACTATAGACAGTGCATAATATACACGCTAAAACCATTGACACTACTGTACATGACTCTGAGAGCACCATGGTTGGTGTTCACCCCTAATACCAATGGATCCCCATTTATAGGTCTTCTCTCAAGGTAGTATCAGCGCAAGAGAAGCTGATACTCCCCCAATGCGCGCACTCCCTTAATGCTGAACATTCAGTTCGTAAAAGTGCACTTCTGAAGCTGAGTTCCCCTGATTATAGTTCCCGGCCTTGAAATAGGACTTCGGTGAGCCCAGCGAGTACGTATCCAATTTCTGCGGTGCCGCCCCATTGATGCTGACGCTCAACTCGTCCGACTCATATCGAATCTCGTACGTAAACTTTGTCCCAACAGGGACATGTCCCACCTTAGTGAAGATACTGTTGCCCCCATCGCGCGTCTTTTCAACTCCCATAACTAGGTCTCCTGATTTGCTGTAATAGAGCTCGCAGACGGGTTTACTCGAGACGGTGTCATCGATATGGATCTGACCGATGACGGTGCCGTGGGACCCATCATCCGGTGTTGGTACGGTAACCGTGGCCTTCAGTCGGTTCTTCGGCGCAGATGGACTCCAGCTAGCCTTATCATCACTATCGAAACTGAGCTCACGGAGCTCAGTGCGACAATGTTTGCTATTAGGAGTTGTCACGCAAGCTGCAGACGAAGGAGAGCCGGGGACTTTCATCACTAGGGCTCCATCCTTACTATCGGTGTAGAAAACACCGGACTCCTGGTACCCACTGCAGCCTTTCAGTTGAGATGGGGTTTTGGTCGTGGGATGGCCAGCTTTACCAGTGGGAAGCTGCAGATTCCAGTACGACAGGTCAAAGTTGCCTCCAGGTGCACATTTTGGATCGAGGGCAACAGCTCCTTCAAGGGCGAGACAAAGAGCGACGGCTATAAGCGCTGACTTGAGTATCATCTTGATACGTGGTGGTTGGCGGTATCTAGCTATCGACGACGAAGAAATATAATGTAGACACGTAGCGATGCCAATATATGGGTTATATATGAATGCATGCAGGTTGCCACACAACCCGCCACGCTTCGGGCAGGAAGCTGAGACCACGTTCTCTCCCCTGCTACTCAATTTTGGGGGCCATTTTCCATCCCGCCGTAGTATTGCGAGGTCACATTCGGAAACTACGAGGACTAGGGTGTAAGATCGTCAAAATCCTGCTAGACCTTTGTAATATGTTCCATGTTTGACTCGGGCGTTTTCAACATCCGATGCCGATCTTGTAACGGGTCTCTGTCTAAATTGGACCTTATTCTTTACTAAGTATACTGATCTTCCATGTCTAGGGTCATTCGACGTTGGGTTATATTTGATGGGAGCAGGAAAAGGTATTATAGGTTTCAATCTAATTACTCGTCTCTCCTTTCATACACATCGGCCAATCCTTAGATATAGCAGATGCACTTGTAGTGATTCTCAAATACCATCTACCCTGCTAGTAGATACAGATACACAGCTCTAGGTGACCTACTGAGGCCAACAACTATACACATACATTAATACTTTAGGCCTTAAGACCAGCAACCAATTTGTCTCCCAGCTCCTTGATACTTTCCTCGAAGGACTCAGTATTGTCTGCCTTCCAGTCAGCGCTCTTTCCAGGCACTGCCTCTTTACCAGTGAAACCAATGTAGAGAACGTCATTCTCCTCATGGCCACTGTCCCCAGAGGGGTCCTCCTCGGGGAAACAAAGCTCTGCCATTGAAAGGGAAGCTTCTCCGGTTGCAGTATGGCCATTGGTATCACCCCATATACCATAGAACTGTGAAGTAAAAGTTAGACTCATACGTGTACTTAGTATGCATGAAGTCGCACGTACCAGTTTTTTGTTGCATACAACAGCCATCACACTCAATGGCTCCATTCCGTGCTTCCGTGGATCAAATTCAGGATCGTCGCCGTCATCGTTCTCATTTCCAAAGACCACATATGGATGGATATTTGCATCCAGGTCATCAATCCCGAGCTTCTGAACCTCATCCTTCCAGCGAGTTTCACCCTGGCCGGAGTGATCATTGGAACACTTGCCAGCGTGTCTATTCGCTCCGTCGCAGTCAACGTCCATATCGGCATATTGGCCTCCATTCTTCGACGAATGAAGGTAGATCGCGTTGGGGATGTCGCCGCAGTAAGAGAAGGACTTTCCATCATGAGAATGACCATTGTCGTAGCCACCTTTCAGTTCTTTGGCACATTTTCCGCTCTGAGGGGGGAAATTGTGTTATTGAAAGAATCTTGTAAGTATATATGAATAGAATTAGACAACATACCTTGTGCTTCTCGTAGATCTGCTTCAGATTCTCTGGCAGATCATACGCAGTGGCACCAGTTACCAGCGCAATGGCGACGACTCCCAAGAAACGCATCTTTGGTAAAAGTTGATAAGATATGAGATGTCGACTGTTTGTTATCGAAGACGAAGAACTTCTGATTCTTTGGTTTGTGTTCGAAGTGGATGACCCTTTTTATACCTGAGCATTGTCATTTTGAGCCCAGCAAGAATAACTGTATCCGCAATTGATATTAATAACGGCCCCAAATGCCATGGACGCCCCATTGCTACTCTGCAGTAAGCATCACTGAAAGCATATCATTGGCCTTTTTCCGAGAATATATCCACTTTCCTGGCTCATGGTGAGATCCCCCCCCCTGAAGAGGAATCACACGTTTCTCCAATGTCGTATCCGGGCCAGGCCGTTTGGCATGCACCAATGAGTGAATAGGTGGCTACAGGATCGACAGTATTCGTCCAAATTGGTTCTGGGGAGACTTTAACCACTGGAAAATCGGAGTTTCTGTCCGGCAGCTAATTCTTTTGGGATTAGTTCACAGGGAATCTCACAGACTTGGTGTGGCATCGAGAGTACGATAGAGCTATGGTTCAGAGGAGGAAGGAAAACGAAGATACGGATAAATGACCTGACAGATGATCACTAGTATGCATCATACGATCGCTTTCATTCCTTAACTCCTATTCAATCCTAACCTCACAACTATGCAGCTTGTGTTGCAGTTCGCGCATGTGGTATATGATTAATTGATAGATTTTTAATTACAGCCAGATTCCACACTATGACTGAGGGAATGCTCCTAGACTCTGTAATAGCAATCTGTCGCCTTGTATGTAATACGGTTTCCCAAATATAAGACCTTCTCCTAAGATGGCGCATCCTTCTTTGCGAGAATAGATTGTGTCTGACCAACAAAAACTGGAGTCGTTGAGGTTTCGGTGCCTGCCGACGGTTCGGTTAGCGCCCGACTTGATAAGAATTTGCTCCATGGTCCTCGGCAGCTTACCGATGACATCGGGTCTGCCGAAGAGGTCTATAATAATAATGTCCCAGGGTCGAGTAGAATAGCAGTGGGATTGTTTCAATGGTTGAAGACTGATACCGGGCTAGTAGTTGGCTGTTGAAAGTTTGACCCCCAATATTTGGCCTTGAGGCGGCAAGACTGGCCTGGCTTTCATTGAATAAAGCAACATTGAAGTACAGATGCTAATATTCCTCATCATAATATCAAGGCCGGAAACTTTGATCAACTATGGATGCTGTCCTCTTGAATAACGAGAGCTTCCACGAAGATTTGGCGTGGAATGCGCTCTGTCTCGGAGAGGATACCTGCTAACTATGTGATATGCTGGAATAAGACACGAGTAGCTCTGCGCTTAGCTTGGAGGCCTCCTGTTACAGCAATATCCAATCAGCCTAAATATACTGACGTGATACGGAGCGAAATTCACTCCGTACTGCATTTCATAGGTGGCGAATAGCCGAAACCGTTCGGTGTGATATAGATTTGGTGCGTAAATATATCTTAATCCCTCTCGGCCAAAATGCCATGGACATCAAGGTCGCGCCTTGAACACTTTATTCCCCCAACATATATTCCAGTACATTCTTCGGGTTGTCCTCCAATTTTCTCATCAACTACAAATCCAGCTTTAGTTACGGTGACGCGCTGTCTCCAGCAGCCAATCCACCTTGACGGCAATGGTCAGATATTGGGTCGCCACAAGGTCGTTGCGATGCCCGCGCAATGGTTTCACTAGGACCCAGCATCTACCCGAACCTCAATCGTTTTGACGGGTGTCGTTTTGGTGACCATAGTACCCAGAGCTGCCATCCCCGTGCGTTGACGGGCGATCCGAACTTCTTGCCCTTTGTCTATAGGGTTGAAATATGTTCTGGGCGAGGATTGGGTATGCGCCAGGCTCAGCTTGCCTTTGATAGTATCCATATAGCTTTTGATTTAGATTCGTATCAATCAATCAATCAATCAAGCTTCTATTAACCTGTTCGAGCCTAACTACTGAACGTCTAGCTATGCAGGTGTTAGATTCGTATCCTATACGAGGTGTAAAGACACAAAATGGAACAGTAAGTGCTGCACGGTAACCCTTGACCAGGAGTTGAAGTTACAGTAGAGGAGACGTAGCATCAGTTGATCAACTCATTGCCAGTGGGATGTATCTTTCTACTATTCGAAAGTGACTTTGGTTGTAATCCTACAATTAGTCAAGTGGTAGGCTATAGATAATCTGCGAATGATCGGCTTCAACTGCCTACCTCCAAAAGTCATCCGTGCTTGAGCAATGATGTGAAATCCCATGATGCTCAGAGCCGGAAACATCTACATATGCCCTCGTGAGTAGCGCGACTTTTTAAAGCTACCGGTCCAAACGCTCTCTGTCCCAACCCGTTCCTTTCTCAACTAGGGGGTAATTAGGAACATGAAGGGGTCTCGTCGGCCATTTAGTCCACTAGACTGCAAACTCGAAGAATGGTACGGAGAATATACAATATTATGAAACTTGCAGCACCTAGCCCAAAATCCCACGGAGTGTTGAATACGTGGCAAAGAAACGCATTATCGCGATATCTTTACGCGTCCTCCTACGGTTTATGGACGGTTCGGTTCGGAATAAATAAGGTCCGCCCATTTCTGCCTTAGGTGTCAAC